GAAAGTATATTCACATATGATATAAGTGCATTATAATTCAAAAGAGGTTTTTTTTAAAACTTATATATTGTGATCTAATTTCCAAAAAAAACTTCTATTGACTAAGGAAAAAGATACGGTTGGATGCATTTGTTATCTTCCATATAGATCCAATATATATATAAAAAAAAAAAAAAAAACTTTAACAAAAAAGTCGGTGGAGAGTGGGTAACACCCTCGATTCCTGACAGTCATGAACCCGGATTGAATCCCGCGTTAAAATTTTGTTTATTATGTGAATAACCTTCACATATTATTCATTGTTTCAATTATCATGAACTAGGTTGCTCTTGCTGAGCGGTACCTATTAATGTGATTTTGAACCATTTTGAAAAAAAAAAAACTAAATTAAAATTCTTTCACAAGAAAAGCTACATATAACCAATATACAATAAACTACTATTGTTTTCAAGAGTTTATCACATAAATTTTAGGCAATCTATACACCTGTTAAAGGATTAATGCCTTTTAATAACAAGGGCTTTCAGAATTGAGCGTTTCTGTTTACCCTCAAATCAATAGCAAAAACCTTTATTAGAATCTAGTTATTTATTATAGGGAACCACATTACAGTAATTACATAAATCTATACAGGATCGATGAGACTCATCCAATGATAGAGAGTCCTTCTCCATGCAATAAGGGACTCCTCATTGCCAACATACAAAACATATTTATGACATTTCAAATAGCTTTAAAACTTCATCCTCTATTAAGCGACAACAAACTCTTCACTTCAGAGCTATCACTACTCATCACCAGAAAGTTTCCAAACTTGGAGTCCCAGTTTCAACACCTTGTTTGTTCCCTTCGGTGTGTTGACAGCTTGTTCGTGTTTGTGAGCAACATCTCGGGGCTGGATTTTCTTCACAAATTACATAAGCCTAATGGAAACCGTTTATCTTGAGTTATATAATCGTCTGGAGCAAATTCATAAAAAGCGCGAAATCATAAGGTGAAAAGTTTCTTTTAAAGTTTTAATTATTTTGTTGAGAGCTTTCAAACATTATTGCCTTTCCATAGGAGAAACATAGAACAAAAATTCTAGTTTTTTCCTGTGGAAAGGCAGTAATGCTTGAAAGCTCTCGGAAAAATAATAATTAAAAAATATTTGAAAGAAACTTTTCACCTTATAATTTCGCACTTTTTATGAAACCGTTTATTTTTACGTAAATATATCATTATTTATATCATATTTCTCTTCTTTAATAAAACTATCTTATATATTGTTACATCATGATTAATGGCGTATTTCTTATATTATTTTTAATATATTTGAAATTTAAATTATATATTTATTTATTTTTATATTCTATGATATTTATTTAAAACAGATTATTTAGATTATCATCATTTGTATTTAGGTACACGTGTGACTTCACTGCTCTCTTTGATGTGAGAAAATAAATAAATTTATTCTGGAGGCTACTTAAAGTAGACTTATCTAATTATTCCCTTATTTAAATTTGTAGGATGGTTGAAACACGCTCTGGTAAGATGCAAGACCCAGCACAGGAGAGAATCATGACTGGAGAGTCTGCCAAGCCGCAACCTGGTGCAACAATTGGTGGAGATGCACGTGCCGACCCAGTTGTCTTGAACCCCAACATCGACATCCCCAAGTATGATGGAACAGAAGACCCTCGCCCATGGATTGAGTCTCTTGAAGAAATTGGCTTCCTGTACCACTGGGCAGAATATATTATTTCTCGTTATGCAGCCATGAATATGATTGGTAGCGCCAAAACCTGGCTGGACCTACACAAGATAAGTTTTACCAGCTGGGAACATTTCAAGAGCCGCCTAATTCAGGATTTTGCCTCAGACGCCAACAAAGAAGAAATGAAGATGAGGCTAAACAGAATGCAGCAGTGGAATGAACCTGCAATCAGGTTTGCAGAGGATATCCTGGTTCTGTGCAACAAGGTCGACCCCCAAATGGAAGAAGAGACTAAAATAAATTGGGTTATTGGAGGGTTGAAGAAAGAATACTCCTTTGCCCTCTACTTAAATCCTCCTAAGAATACCAACGAACTCCTAAGATTGTGTAAAAAGATGGATTTGTTTGAATATGATTATCAAGAACGTGTAGAAAAGTCAAAGGCTCTACATAATGTACCATGCTCTCCTCGTCCCCATCATCAAGAGCAATGGAAGAACGCTCCGTCGTTCAGAAGACCACACCAGAACACTTTCAAGCCCCAGGTTCCTGCTCCCAGACAATGCCAGGCCAACCCCTCGCCCCAGGTCTCTGCCGCTGGACGACCTGCCTATGCAAATTCAAGTTTCACGTAGAGACAGACCCACCAAAATAAAGTCTACAACAAGAGTCCAGCTACAAACAAAAGCAGGACGGAGGACGGAAGACCTATATGCTTTAAGTGCAATATTCCAGGACACATTGCGCGTTATTGTAGGGTCAAGTTTGTGAGGATCGTAGAAGAGGACCCGTCAGTTTCCCAAGACAAGAGTCAAGAAAATCTTCAAACGGACGAAAGAAAAGAATATATACGGCCTCGCCTCTATGCGGATGTTTGTAATAACACACGAACGAATATTCCTACGCGGAATAGATATTCCGTGTTGGAAGATTTAAACTAAGTGTCGCGCCTGATTCCTTCAATCAAAGCAAGTCGACCATAAATGGAATTAGAAAGTTGGACCCTAGGTACAAAATTAATATTAATGTGGACAAGATAGGGTTATGCGAAGCTTTGATTGATACAGGCGCCGATCTTTCAGTGGTCGACCTAAGAACAGCACTTTTTGCTGGCCGTGAAATAAATAGTCTCACTAAAACGTGTTCAGGACCCGATGGGAAAAAATTAGATATGGTAGGTAGCATTATTTTAGATTTAAAAATTGATGACACTGAATTATCCCACGAATTTGTAGTAATGGACGCGCAGCTACGAACCAGGAGAATTAGTAGCAGTTTGGACACCAATTAGGAAAATAGGAAAGTGTGAGAAACTACTGAGAAAATATTTTGGCCCATATAGAATATTAAAGAAGCTGTCCAACGTAAATTACTTAATTGAACCAAAAGATAATCCTGGCCAAGACCCATTGATTGTCCATGTCTCAAGAATCAAACCCTATTTTGTGTGAAAGAATTGATGAGGTCAATCACGAGGACGTGACGACCTCTGGAGAGGGGGAAGTGTTACATCATGATTAATGGCGTATTTCTTATATTATTTTTAATATATTTGAAATTTAAATTATATATTTATTTATTTTTATATTCTATGATATTTATTTAAAACAGATTATTTAGATTATCATCATTTGTATTTAGGTACACGTGTGACTTCACTGCTCTCTTTGATGTGAGAAAATAAATAAATTTATTCTGGAGGCTACTTAAAGTAGACTTATCTCATTATTCCCTTATATAAATTTGTAGGATGGTTGAAACACGCTCTGGTAAGATGCAAGACCCAGCACAGGAGAGAATCATGACTGGAGAGTCTGCCAAGCCACAACCTGGTGCAACAATATACAACATATATCTAAAGGCAGTCCTCTCCAGAAAAAGGAGAGCAAGATAATACCTATGACCTTAGACCAACAAAAGGGGTTATGAAATCTGTCGAATTTACCAAACAGGTGATTAAGCTGGCGAAGTGGCAAGGGTTAAATTCAGGCAAGATTACAACATAAAGTTGCATTAGGATGAAACCAAAGCCTGAAACCATGTTATACAGGTTGGAATTTTGTCTAAATTTGCCAAAACGGGTATTGTGCATCATTATTTATCATCACGAGTAAAGAGCTCAAATTGACTTGTTCCATTATATGTATGTTCCATATGTAAATACCTGTTTTCTTTCCTCTTTTCGCTCTCCACTTCTCCCACCCATATTTCCAGAAAAAAATTTTTTTTTTCCAAATCCATATTCTTATTTTCCATAGGATTATTCAAATAATAATCTGTATATATTTACCATGTGTATATAATCTTTCTCCATTTTTACCCCTTTGTATATTTCCCACTTTCATGGGTTTCTCCGTCTTGTAACCCCAAGGAGAATCCTCTGTAAGACCTGTGTGTCTTAATAAAGGTTTTTGTGTGTGTAGTTATTATCACTAGTAAAGTTGTTTACCAGGGTGATGTACAGTGTCATCGTTCTGATGTACAATTAAACGGAGACGTGCCACTTTTGGTACAGAACTATCGGTATATATGGTATTGCTCCCATTTAAAGATTTATTTTCAAAATAAATCGCAATTACAGCTATATCTTTACTGCGTAGTTATAATATGTATTAATGCGCACAAATTTTATATATATTTAAATAATCAGATTTGTCAAAAAGAAGTTTTTTTGCAAATTCACACACACACAAAAACCTTTATTAAGACACACAGGTCTTACAGAGGATTCTCCTTGGGGTTACAAGACTGAGAAACCTATGAAAGTGAAAAATATACAAAGGGGTAAAAATGGAGAAAGATTATATACACATGGTAAATAAATACAGATTATTATTTGAATAATCCTATGGAAAATATGAAACGCTTTTTGCAAATTAAGAAGAATCAATCCTGTGTACTATGGTTTCGGGCTGTGTCCCTCATCAGTACAGGGGCCGCTATGATCTCGTGACATCCTACTGGAGCAAGAGGAATCATGATGAAATCCGAATATTCCATAAAGGTGTTTTAACTTATGAAGTAGTAGCACCGATTTTAAGTCAAATTACACTGCAATTTTTCAGAAAGATGATATTAGCGAATACATTTTTTTTTAAATGAATTTCTTAATTCGATCTATGGACAGTTCTGATTTAGCAGTTTGCCAATGTAGGTATGTATTGGAGGAGCTGGCTATCCCAGTTGGATAAAAACAACCCTGTTGGTCCGAGTAGGAATAATGTAGGTGTTGATATTGACTGAAGTGGTTGCAGAAGTCTGATAATAGGGTCCAGACAAGAAGTCAACCAGACTTACGATTTGCATAACGGTTTGTATAATGGTTAGCATAGGTGCCTTCCAAGCAGTTGACCCGGGTTCGATTCCCGGCCTTCGCAGATTTTTTATCATACACTTTGTTTAGTAGCCCGTAAAACTATATTCTCTCTCGATTTGCATAACACTGCACAAAATAATGTATATACAATAATTTCTAACGAGAATCTATATGTCCATATCCAAAGGTATATATCATAAGGGGCAATATATATTTAAATTCAAAGAATTTTTATCTCTAATCTTTAAAAGGGATTTTTCTATAGAGAGAATTATTCTTAGTTTGGTTCAAATTCACATAAATAGGTACCGCTCAGCAAGAGCAACCTAGTTCATGATAATTGAACAATGAATAATATGTGAAGGTTATTCACATATTAAACAATTTTTAACACGGGATTCAATCCCGGTTCATGACTGTCGGGAATCGAGCGTGTTACCCTCTCATCCACCGACTTTATCTATTATTCTTAGTTTCAAGCAAATATTAACAGATCCATTTACAATGGAAAACATAAAACGGTTTCTTGATGTTACGTCAAGTTATTTAGAAAATTATGCACACAAGTTCTAAGAAGGGATGATAAAATTATACGTACAAGTTTTGAGAGGGAAAGATGATATTATTCAAAAGTTGTGAGAGGGGGAAATAAAATTACTCAAAAGTTGTGAGAAGTGAAGATAAAATTACGTGTACAAGATGTAAGAGGGGAAGATAAAATTATGTACCAAAGTTGTAAGGGGGAGGAAGATAAATTTATGCACAAGTTATAAGGGGGAGGGAGATAAAGTTACGTACAAGTTCTGTGTGAGACCGGCGGGTGTTCCTCCAATAAGATTGTACACCATTTACAATCCCAAATTCCATTAAAAATTGAGAAAAGTTCCATTTTTATCAAAGACAGTGTGTGTGTGTGCAGACGTACTTTGTTTTCCACTTTTCCAACTAATTAGAGTGTTGACAATTCTTATCAAATCCTCTCCAAAGATTTAGTATCCTGAGTAACTACCGAGACACAGAAATCGAATAATTATTTTATAAAAATCATTAAGGAATCTTTATGGTTACGGAGGGCATCAAGTATTTTGTCAACGTTCACAATGTGTTGCTATTATCTAAATGCTTCGGGATCACATTTCAGGTGAAATGTGACGAAGAAATAAAACAAACATTTTAAGATTATAGATATTTCTATTCACCAACTGATTCAGAAGAATCTAACTCTTGGATTCACAGAATGTGGCGAAATTGTGCAAGATGGATCTTTTTCACGAGGAATAACTCTATATCGGAAATAATAAACCGTAATATTTTTGAAGAAACAACAAAACTGAGCTTTAGAACTCACAAAAGAGACAGCTTTAGATCTCGCTATCCGAGACAGAAGGCGAGATTCCAGGTAACTTCAATTTACATATTAGGTTTGGAAGTATAAAACATGGTACATATATATATGTTCTTATTACTGCTTCTCTTGTATACTTCTAGTCTACAGCTTGTATATCCTTTGTGTCGACTTGATGCATGTTTTTAGACATTTTTGTGTATACTTCTAATATACTCTTTCTTTAATATAAATTATATATCATACTTATTTGTTAGTTATTGTATATATTTCTCTGGTCATATATCACATATTTTTACATTTTTTACTTATGGATTTTTTACATTTTTATAGACGAAATTTGGAAGGCAGATGGTGTGGTGCAACAGTTAACGCGTCTGACTACGGATAAGAAGATTCCAAATTCGAATCCTGGTAGGCTCATATTTTTAATAGTTATCATGAGACACATTTTTGTGACATGATGACAAAGCCCTATCTCTTGGTGCAACCTGGATTCCTGGAGCGTACTAAAGTCGCTAACTATCCACAGGTTGGTGTTTAGACTTCCTGTCTAATGGTGGACATCCAGATGTACTGTATTTGGGAATGTTCTGTAGGTCTTATTCCTAGGAGAGTGATTGTTTGAAGCCTTTGAAGATGTGATGATAAGGCTTTTTTGTCGGTTAGTCATATGAAGAGCATGCGCATCGCGCTTAATCTTCCAATCGCGTGAAGGCCAAAGAAGTAAAAAAGGAACTTGGAGGCAATTACTGAGCTGTGTACCGTAAAGTGTGGCCGCTGTATCTAACAGATGTTTCAGGTGTGAGATCACGTCATCGCGGCGTGACTTCCCTTCGTTCCTACTCTACCAGATAAGATTCTAGTTGGTTATTAACTAATTAGCGACATGTTGACAATGGGGCTCCGCTATGACGACTGCCTGTATATGTCTAGAAGAAAAAAACGTGAAAATAAATAAATAAAATAATTTTGACCACTGTAATGATTCCATATGCAGATTTTATTCTTGGAGAAAAAAGTGCAGCATATATGTAAATATGTATTAATTTTCTGATAGAAAGTTAATTATGTAAAAATGATTGGATATATATATAGAGTGTAAGAGGAGAGTGAAGGTATACCATTTTATAGAAATAAATATCTTATACCGTATAGTGTTCGTCAACTGCTATTTTGTTAGGTAGAGAACACGACAACCAATAAAACCACATACAGAAAACAACTCTATGGTTTTGGTCATCATTATGTGTTTTGCCAGCTTGTTCATTTCAGAAGGATGCAAGAACCATGTACTACTTCCTTTTCACCTGTTCAGCCTTCGAATACCAAATATCCTCCTAGGAACCACGAAACTAAGCCCAGCTTCCAAAGTAAATATTTCCAAGAAATAAACCTGCTTGAAGCCACCTCATGAATTGGATTTCCACTTGCATTGTCAATAAAATAAAAAAAGACTTAGGTCTAAGGGAGAATCCGCGTACTTGGCGACTTCTGTAGACATGGTTAACCAAATTAATAATAAGGAGACAAGGTCATATCTTCCAGACTTCTAATTCCCCTGCTTCAAAAACATAAACGTTACGACATCCACAATATTGTAGGACAAGGCTTGTGTGCCAGCGGTTATTGCGAAAATCTCCAAAAACGACCCGACCTGCCCACATTGTCGGGAAGTAAACCAAACTGTCGATCACCTCCTTTCAGATGTCCCTATCATCATCTCAAGAGATTCCAGACTGAAACCCTCATCGACGTCAATACATGGATTGTAAAGACATCTGATCAGCTGGATGTCCACCACAACAATTGGACAATAAGTCTGAAGACAAACCCGGATCATCATCTTTTATTTGAAGCCTACTAGGACCAACATGAGTGTATACATCGACCTGCGCAATGGCTGTAGTAATACAGGCAGCTCCAAGTGAATGGTGGATGGCCCAAGAACAGCTCGCCATCAAGGCATACCAGTATACTGAAATTGCACAGGACAAAAAAGATTAGTGAAATTTCCCAGGTTAGGGATGTAAGAGGGTAAGGTTGCTTTTGGAAGAGTGAAAACCAACCTGAGTAGTATGGCGACTTCTGTACGTGGCTCCAGTAGTCCAGGTTACGCAGAGTTGCAGAGGTAAGACACCCGGATAGTTGGCGACTTCTGTACGTGGCTCCAGTAGTCCAGGTTACGTACAGTTGCAGAGGTAAGACACCCGGATAGTTGGAGACTTCTGTACGTGGCTCCAGTAGTCCAGGTTACGTACAGTTGCAGAGGTAAGACACCCGGATAGTTGGCGACTTCTGTACGTGGCTCCAGTAGTCCAGGTTACGTATAGTTGCAGAGGTATGACACCCGGATAGTTGGCGACTTCTGTACGTGGCTCCAGTAGTCCAAGTTACGTACAGTTGCAGAGGTAAGACACCCGGATAGTTGGAGACTTCTGTACGTGGCTCCAGTAGTCCAGGTTACGTACAGTTGCAGAGGTAAGACACCCGGATAGTTGGCGACTTCTGTACGTGGCTCCAGTAGTCCAGGTTACACACAGTTGCAGAGGTAAGACACCTGGATAGTTGGCGACTTCTGTACGTGGCTCCAGTAGTCCAGGTTACGTACAGTTACAGAGGTAAGACACCTGGATAGTTGGCGACTTCTGTACGTGGCTCCAGTAGTCCAGGTTACGTACAGTTACAGAGGTAAGACACCTAGATAGTTGGCGACTTCTGTACGTGGCTCCAGTAGTCCAGGTTACGTATAGTTGCAGAGGTATGACACCCGGATAGTTGGCGACTTCTGTACGTGGCTCCAGTAGTCCAGGTTACGTATAGTTGCAGAGGTATGACACCCGGATAGTTGGCGACTTCTGTACGTGGCTCCAGTAGTCCAGGTTACGTATAGTTACAGAGGTATGACACCCGGATAGTTGGCGACTTCTGTACGTGGCTCCAGTAGTCCAGGTTACGTATAGTTACAGAGATAAGACACCCGGATAGTTGGCGACTTCTGTACGTGGCTCCAGTAGTCCAGGTTACGTATAGTTACAGAGATAAGACACCCGGATAGTTGGCGACTTCTGTACGTGGCTCCAGTAGTCCAGGTTACGTACAGTTGCAGAGGTAAGACACCCGGATAGTTGGCGACTTCTGTACGTGGCTCCAGTAGTCCAGGTTACGTACAGTTGCAGAGGTAAGACACCCGGATAGTTGGCGACTTCTGTACGTGGCTCCAGTAGTCCAGGTTACGTATAGTTACAGAGATAAGACACCCGGATAGTTGGCGACTTCTGTACGTGGCTCCAGTAGTCCAGGTTACGTACAGTTGCAGAGATAAGACACCCGGATAGTTGGCGACTTCTGTACGTGGCTCCAGTAGTCCAGGTTACGTACAGTTGCAGAGGTAAGACACCCGGATAGTTGGCGACTTCTGTACGTGGCTCCAGTAGTCCAGGTTACGTACAGTTACAGAGGTAAGACACCCGGATAGTTGGCGACTTCTGTACGTGGCTCCAGTAGTCCAGGTTACGTACAGTTACAGAGGTATGACACCCGGATAGTTGGCGACTTCTGTACGTGGCTCCAGTAGTCCAGGTTACGTATAGTTGCAGAGGTATGACACCCGGATAGTTGGCGACTTCTGTACGTGGCTCCAGTAGTCCAGGTTACGTATAGTTGCAGAGGTATGACACCCGGATAGTTGGCGACTTCTGTACGTGGCTCCAGTAG